CTAGTAAATACTAGAGCATTCGCCAAAGTACAGGATAGTTCTAGAAACGTGGCGTCACTGTAGTCATGTGACTCGCTGACGCAACAGTATTATGAATTATGTAATTGAAAGAACTGTTTTGTTTATTAATTAAAGATAACCGATTTATTATTTTGTAGGTATAAGACCTAAAATGCTTAAATTTGTCATGTTGTAATTTGTTTGTTAGCTAGGAGGCGTAGAACACCTTGAATATTCTAAGGATATGACGTCAAGTTTTTTCTAGTATATTGGAAGCAAAGTTATAAATACGAGATAGTGATGGAGTGTGTAGAGCTATTTCACGATAGAGCATTGAATCAGTCAATGCCTTATCGTGAAATATTTGGATGTGTTCGTTATCGTGCTTGTTGAGTTTATCCAAGTAAGTTGATCTATTTTACGTTAGTTAATGTATTTTTAACGTAGGCCTGCAACAAGTTACGACAGTGTACAAGTATTCAAAATTGTAGGAAAGTTAAAGGGGAAAATAAAGTAATTTGTTCGCGTGGGCCAAATGTTGAATTATTTTTAATAGTTAATTTAAAAGAAGTCGCCAAAATAACAGTGTCAAAACACTAGATGTGAGAAGTAGGGTTCATTTTTGATAAAAGTAAAATAGAACCTTAACTGTTGAAGATGATGATCATGAGTTAAAGAGTGAGAGCGAATACAACTTGAAATAATGAAATCATTAAGACAAGATCAGGACGAAAGAGACCGAAGATTATAAGAATGCGACAGAAAATGTAAAGAAGACTAAGAAGAATTTTACAGAAAATCAAAATAAAACTAAGAAGAAAGAGATACAAAAATAAAAGAATATCAATAAGAATTTCACAGAAAAATGAAAAGATGAAGAATAAAGAGCAAGAAAATTGGAAGAACGTGAAAGAAATTTAATAGAGGAATTAAAAGAAAGAGACCTAATATTTAGAGATAAATTAAAATAAAAAAATAAGTCTGAGTGAAGACAAGATCGATGAAATTATAAAAGTTGTACATAGAGAGAATACAACAATAAGAATGAAGAAATATGGAATAGCTGCAATGGCAAAAGTGGAAAGCACAACAAGATTGTGAAAACAGAATTGACGAAGAAGAAAAGAACATCAGTGACAGAATGAAACATCTGGACAATGAAATATTAAATGCAAATATTAAGTCAGATACGCCTCGTTCTGCAATGGCCCAAGAGTTCCAACTGAAAACACCATCTACTACCAAGTATAGGATAGGAAAACTTATTTGGTCTAAATCTATTACCTTTCCTGCTGCGCCACCTGTTACAGAAGAACTTCCTGGACTACTCTAGCCATGACATTACCAAATTTAGTTCCAGAAATTAGCTGGTCAGTCAATAGAGAAACAAACAGACTATGATGGGAAGGTACAACAGAAGTAATACAAGGCTCAGTTAAACTACATTAAGTAACCTTCCAGCTGATGGTCGTAATAACTATCAAGCATTTGTAGCCACCTGATACAATAGGTCCAAAGTGACACACCAGAAAGAAGATCCTGAGCAAAGTTCCGGAACAAGGCAAAGTGGAAAGAAGAGGCCTTTGCCAAACTTGCAAAAGATGTGGAAAGGCTTGCCCAATTATCTTTCCAAAATGCTTCTCGTGAAATGATGGATTCGTTGAAGCATGACCAGTTTATAGACGTCATAACAGATGAGAATGTAAGAATTTGAATGAAGCAAACTAGGTGTGCATCTTAACAGGAAACTCTGCAGTTTACAATGGAACTAGAATCCATCAAGGTTGTAGATAAACAACATAAAACACCATCTTGAAGTCGTGGAATTGTCAGATGGAGCACTACTGAAACATCAATTCACGGTGATGATAGTCTAGAACCATGCCGAGCAAATTGTGAGGCACGCCCCCAAGGGGTGCAGAAAATCGGTGGGCGGTTTACAACTACGACTATAGAAGCATGTAAATTATACCTGAAAGTATAAATTTAAAACAAAGAAGTTTTAAAACCTACTGTGCGAATATTACTACCGCTGAGTAACATAGTAATACTGATTAAAATGGGAAAATGACATGTACAGTATGTATGCAAATAAGTTAGGGTGGGTAGTTGCGTCGGTGTTGCTGCAAAAAGAACAAATACACGTTAATTCGACAGTAAAACGTAAATAGAAAGAGAGGTTACACAGCCAAAATATTGTGTACTTCATTCATGTTCTTCTTACTTTTTTAGCATGGAATTAACCTATCATATACCAAATAGTTTTGTATTTGAACAGTTTTATACAAATGAGCAAAAGCCTTTTCACTCCAGGCACAAGATAGGTAATTTTTTCTAGGTGGTGGCTGTTGTCTGTCGCAAAACATTGCACCTCACTATTTACTGTTTAATTTGAAATCTATTGCCCCTTAAGCCACTGACTGTTTTGCTTTATTTTATAAGTAGAACTGAGTTGACAGGTGATGCTGATCAGTCATCCATGAACCTGTTTAATTAATATTTCATTCCCCCACTTACCTAATTAAACCTCCAATGCATTTATCGTTTTATCCTTGTGCATTTATTTTTGCTGCTAGTTAAAGAAGAGATGTAAAATAGCCATTGATGCTATTTATACATCACAAATGCAACATTTAGAAAATTTATTTTATTCAAAGTATTCAAAAACCCAAGCAGCAATACCCTTCTCTTAATCAGAATACATTAGGTACAGTAAACTGAAAGCCCTAATTATTATATTAGAATATTTATAAACCAAAAAGCAACGTGACTGTTGATTATATATCGACATATCATGATAATTTTTTTACACATTTGTCAGCTTTGTAGTTTCAAGTTTTGGACATTAGTATACATTTACTACTTTGTCAAAAACATGGATAAGTGGGGGCTGCATATCAGCAAAAAAACTATCTCATGTTTCTTCGAATGATAGCTGAGAAGTAAACAAACAGAAAAACTCG